ACATGGCTGCAGCTCCAGCCTATTTCAGATGACTATCCAAGGATTGTGCTTTGCTTAAGCTATTACAGGCTCCCCCATCATCTATCAGTGAGATGTTGTAGTAGTGACCTAGAGTCTGCAGTTCTACAATATTTTAGTTTTTTATCCATTCTGGATCCCTGTGGAATTTATATTAATGTATAAAAGAAAACAAACAGGCGTGTTGATTGTCCATACCCATGTCGGAAGAGACGCTCTCTCCAATTCTGCTCCAGTTCCATAGATGCGATTCTCTTTTAACTAATACTTTAGGCTGGGTTCATTTTCTTTTAAAAGGTTGAAATGTTCTTCCCAAATATGTACTTTCCCTGAAGTTACTTTGCTTTTAAATACAGCTTCCTGGCTTCCCCTTGTATAGCTTCAGTGTTTCTTTTATCATCTGTATTTTTTTTAACTCGAGTTTTGCAATATCTCACTACAATTTAGTGTGGATGAATAAAATGAGAAATGGGAAGTATTATGGCAAATTTCTCCCACTATATTGAATCATCAGTTTATTTTGATTGCCAAACAGTGAAATCTGTGTAATCCTATAAATCAGAGATGAAAAAGCCTATCATGGTAGGTAATACAGTCCATCCTCTTGCTGGAGACAGATTATTCCCTACAGAACATTTTTTAGTGCATTGTGCATTCTCCCTTCAGCAACTGGGCTTCCATTACCTCCCACGTGCAACTAATGCAGATGCATAACTCTCCCATTTCGCAGCACCACCAAATTCAGAATGATGGATTAAATTAAGTCAGAGGAACCTCAGAGTTTATTTGGCCACCAGACTCATCTCCATGAGTTTTCTCAGCTACCTCTAAAGCATGCCCAGGGACAGGGACCGTATCTTCAGGGTGTCTCTCTGTGTTCTCCTTCTATGGTGTTTAATTGGCAGATATGATAATGGACATAACCATTAATTACTTCAGTATTTGCATTCTATCAAATAGAGACTCCAAGCAAGACAAGGGTTTTTTGTGCTATGTAGTATACAAACACAATGTGAACCCCAAAGAGTTTAAATAGAGACAAGTTAAGCAGACAAAGGAAATGGAGGAACACAGGGTATAGCTACCCAATGTAATGCACTGCTATGTAGATATATCTAATTTGCACTGGAAACACTATAGCTGCATTAGTAAAGAGCTCTACCCAAGCTAATACACTCCAATAATGCTACTTAGCAGAGCTAATTTCCCTGGGCAGAGTGCCACACACACAGATTTCTGGTTCTTCTAGAACCCAAGTTAACTTGGTCTGAGCTAGCTTGTGTGTATCTCTACTTGGCACAGGACTATGCTGTGCTGACATACCCAGAGAAGTGAAATCTTTTTATCCATGATCATGCTGTAAGTTGACCCCAAACATAGGTCCTCTATCCACTGGACAAGAGTGTCAAACTTGCAGACCAGCTCCAGACCCACCTCTGGAAGCAGAGCTAGTTGTCAGGGAGCAACAGAGGTTAACATAGCCATTGCTGGCCTGCTGCCACCAAAACACACCCCTAACAGGGGGTCTGTACCCCAAAATTCAGTGGCAGGCTGCACCATGGCACACTCCACCCCTGAATTCTTCACCCCTCCAGAAGCCCTGAGGGGTGGATGACACAGCTCTGTAGGCCAAATGTAAACCTCAGGCCAGATGCTTGACACCCCTGCAGTAGACCTCCCTGGTTTCTACCCCACCCAGTTTTGTTAGTTGTTGTATATTAGCATTTTCTCATCAGCTATATTCTGGTCACAGATCAAAATAACAAAGGTCAAGTCTTCAACACGATCCTACAGTATTAGGGATTGAATACCCATTACAAAAATACTCAGGTGAGCTTAGAGCACATTTCAGAAATAAGTATGCATAACTTAAAAATAATGTTGAGGTCCTGGTAGTAACCTGCAGTTATGAACAGCCCAGTTTCATTCAGACAATTTCATTTTTTCTTTAAACCAAAAAATATATTTAAGAACTGTTTCCCCCCGTCCCATGCAGAGCTCAAAGAATGCTCTATGTGCTAAATCTAATCACCCCCCATGCAATACCCCCCAAAAAGATTCTTTCCAATGATGAGCCCTATGTGAGCTTGTGTCTCATTTCTCCTATTGCCCTTGGGCATTAGCTCAGTTTATTTTCTCCAATTTAAAATAACTATTTCTGTTTATCAACTCAACTTTCTTTTTAGGAATTATTCTGTTCTAAATATATGAGCACCTTCAGAAATAGACTATTGAGAGGAAATACATACAGATATTAACAACTGGAATATCCTCCTCCTTTTCACCCAAATTACATTAAATAGTCTAGTATGTGGAAATGGCTAATGATCCAATCAGCACAAGAACATGTTTCAAATTAGGATTTTAATAGATAAGCACTAGATGCAGACTTATCATGTAATTATGCAGCTGGAAAAATGGAATATTTTGAAATGATTGCTTTTTTTGTTGCTGTAGTCTCTTGCAGGAGGTTCTTTATCATTTAAATTTGTGGTGCTTACTAATTGCATTTGATAGGCAGGACGTTCAATTAATGTTACCTGATACGGTTGGTTTCAATAAGGATGGTGGAGATTGGAACTCTGGTGGCAATAGGAAAACCAAGCATTTTATGGACATGAATAATGGGACCACAACCCACAGGAACCTTTATATATTTTACTTGTACATTCTTGGGAGGTCATTTTCATCTATTTATTCATTTTATGGCATAGCCTTTATTGCTGTAAAATTTGAGGGTTTTCTATTTAAAAATACACTGATATTTACAAATAAACACTATACCATCTAGAAGCAAACTTGTGTGTAGCACTACAGTTCACTTGCTATTTGCAGATGACATCCTTCAAATTCAGTATCATTTATGTTTTTGTCACACAAGGGATGGAACATAAATCCATCTGGGATCTGCCATATGTTAGACCACTGCTCCATTTAAAGCAGCATCCTGGCTCCAAAATTAGGAAATTCTTGATGAAGCACACACCAATACCACAATGACCCTACTTAACTGTGTACTGGAGTATAATTGGATACATCATACAGTGGAAACCCTGAAATATAAAATGTGTTGGCTTTAGCTTGCAGCAATTACAGCATAAACGGTGAAAATATTAGTTTTACTCAGCCCTCTGGAATACTTCTTGTTTTAAAAGCTTATGGGGTCAAAAGTCCTGGGACCAAACTAGAATTAGTTCTCTGGGGGCATGTCTCCATGTGCAATTAATGTGCCTGAATTTTCTGTGTAGAATTTTTTGCACCCCCACATGCATCTGAACGTGTGCCCATCAGGAGCAAATTTGCTCCCAACACAATTTCAATCCAGGGCTGCTCCTGTCCTGCTCCAATCTCCTGCAGCAGCCAAGGGGAGCTCCAGGCTCCCTTGGGTGCCAGACCCAACCTGGCAGGGGGCATGGGTGCTGGTCCTGATGTCCATGAGGCAGGAAAGAGCTGTCCTGGCTACCAGGCAGCTGCCTACCTGGCCTGTGGATATCAGGATGGGTCCCAACCTCCACAGGGCTGGGAGGCAGCTGCCTGACAACTGGGACAACTCTCCCTGCCCTGTGGAAATTGGGATGGGTCCCGATCTCCATGTGGCTGGCACACACCATCCTGCCAAGCTGGGACAGATCTCCCTGCCCCCTGTGGCCCCAGGCTGATAGGCACCCAGCAATTTGCTCCTCCTCAGCATCTACACATGCACTTTGGCACATTAGTTTAATGCACAGATTTCTAGTACCTGTATCTACAGGTACTAGGAAATGGTGCATTAGACTAATCTACTGCAAAGTAATTGTCATGCACGTTTAGATGGTAACACTTTACTGTGCATTAGATTAGTCTACTGTGCAGTAAAGTGTCTCATGTAGATGCACCCTAGGATACTGAAGGTTACACTGTATACCAGGGGCAGGCAAGCATTTTGCGTGGAGGGCCACTTCCATAGAACCCTGCTAGCCCATGCCCTGCATTCCTGCCGCCCTGTCTGGGGCCCACCAGCACTGGCCCCAGGACACCTGCGCAGGCCCCAGACACCTAATCTCTTCCACTCCCCCCAATCCCCCACCGCCACTTTCCCCACTTCTCTGCCTGCCCATTGGCCGCTCCTGCACCACGTGGCTCCTGGCTGCATGGCCATGACTGCAGGACTCAGCTGGAGCTGGCCTGGCCCCGAGGACTAGGGCAATCACCCATGGTCCTCCCATGCCTCCCCGCCCCCTTTCCCCCACCATTCTTACCTGAATTTTCTGCTCCACTGCAGGCAGGCACAAACAGGCTCACAGTCCCAGGCCAGAAGTGTCTGTTAGGCAGGGGCTTCTGGTTGCAGGGGGTGGGCAGGCCTTGCTGCTGCTGGGTCCTGCCATGGCTTCCCCTGGTCCCTACTATCCCTGCCTCCTGTCATCTCTGACAGGCAGCCAGGGGCAGATAAATATTAATTTTCTGAATGTTTGGGGGCCTTGTGGGTTGGATAGAATGGCTTGGTGTGCCAGATCTGGCCCGCAGGCTGTATTTTGCCCACCCCTGCTGTATACCCTTACAACGGATTAAAGAAGGATGAAGGATCTTCAAAGTATAATGGCCCAGATAGGAATTATCAACATACTTCCTCTAGTTCACAAATTTCTGGAAACTAGAAACAAAAACCAGACCTGGTCTTTGCAGTATAGTTAACTTTTGAATGATGTTAACAAACCAAAACACTTGCAGCTTTTCCCTTGCAGCCACAGGACACCAACCACTGTTGTCCTGTTTTACTTGTGGAAGATTAGGACCTTGTAACTGTGCAACAGGGTTGATTATTTAGTTTGAATAACATGTTGGAAAAGGATGTGTATGGGATGGTTTGGAAAGGGATGAGCTTGCCTTCAGCATGGGGCTGCACTAGAAAGCCAGTGGAGGCCCCTTGAAGCCCTACTCTTCTATGATTCTAAGGTAATATGGAGCAAAAAACCCAAAACAAAACATGAGACAACACACAGTGATAGACCTGGAATTGGGTTTTATTTGACAATTATTCTAGTTTCATTTACTTTTTAAACAGATGCTGATTATTATTTCAGACCAGAAATAAAAAATAAAATGATGTTTGAACACTTATTTTAAATACTTTTCACTAGCATTTTCACACTTGGGAGTGTTTGGGTAGAAAGTAAAGGGAACAGGCTATGCTGGCCATTCTCCATGAACAATTTAGAGAATATAATAATGGCAATAGCAACAATAAGTCCCCAAAGGTTACCATATTCTTATCATTAAGGACACATGCATTGGCTAAAACAAACTACACTGGCACCAAATAAATCTTCACATGGGCAAATAATTTGGCTACAAAAAAGAGAAAAAAATTAACTGAATCATTGGCCTACAAAATTACTTTCTTTAATCACTGTGCATCTTTAATGAGGAACTTGGGCTGCTTCCCTTCTACTCCCTGCTCCTATCCACTTCAGATTCTCAGCAGAGGAAATTCTCCAATCCCTTTGGTCAAGGCCATGAGCATCTGTACCTATTTTTGTCTGAGATGGGCTGGTTTGTGCTCTGAAGTCTATTAAGGCCACTTCTAGTTTACCAAAACCAGCAGTGTCTGAACAGCAATGGGAAGTCCTGTCTCCCACACAGACAAGATGCTCTTGCTGTTGCAGAACATCCAGACCAGGCCAGCCAGGACAATGAGAATGGCTACTACATCCGGGAAACTCTCTCTGGCTGTTATCATGGCAGCACAGACTGCAGAGAGCCTCACCAGATCAACTTCTATCACTTTAACTTAACCCATTAGTAAGTTCTAAAAGATCAGGGCCCTGGTGTGTTAGATATGGCACAGACAGTGAGGACAAAATGAGTTCCTGACCTAGAGAACTCACAGTCTAGGATAACCTAATAAATAGTAGCTCTCTCTTGCAGTACAATAAGTCTGTATAGGTGAGTTTTTCTTCTTTTCTTTTGCTGAACACCAAAACATATATGTCACAATAAAGTGCAGCTGTAAAGTTTAGTAAATCATATTGACTATAAACCTAAAGAGAGAAAAAACTATTTTTTCTCTCAAAGTGAATTGTGTTTAGCTTCCTGTTTGTTATAGAAACCAAATTAAATAAATTCATTTTCTTTTGCACTTTGTTAAAAATACTGTTTCATTATAAAGTCCTTGGTAAACACACCACTAAAGCATGCTGTAACTGAAATGGCTCAAACCTCCTAACTACCAACCCAAAGATCTCAAAATCACACAGTCCCCTTTTATTTATCTAGCACCTCTAGGAACCCCTGCCCTTCTCCTTATTGTTGTGCTGCCAACTCCTACAATTCTATCACGAGTCTTTCGATATTTGGTGTTTTTCTTATGGCTCCAACTCTTGAACCAGAATCTCAGAATCTGAGCTTTCAGCTCCCATTGTCTCAGAGAAACCCTGAAAAACACATAAAAGCTTAAAAAAAATCTAGGGTGTCTCTGTATTTGCCTTCTATTGGATATCTTTATTTCTTTATAAATGTCATGTTCTTGAAGACAAGTTTCTAATTTTGCAGCTCGTGAATTTTCAATGTTTGGGGTTGGCAATACTACTTCTCTTTCCTCCTCACCCCTATCTGCTGTTCTACCACTAAGGTTTGCATGAAGAACGAAGAGGTCCAAATTTCTGATAGAAATCATCTTCAGCACGAACCAGAGCTTCCTCATCTATGTAGACAGCTGGTCTTCTAGAGGCCACAAAGTACTGCACCTTTCTCAGGTTCCATCCCATCACATACTTTAACCAACCACAGATTGCAGCTGTGGACCTGCCAACGCCGGCATTGCAATGAACGTAGACAATGTGTCCATTCTCTAGCAGCCCATGCAGAAGGCAGACAGCCTGAGGCAACATCTGAATTCTTCCTAAGATTAAAAAACAAGGTACAGTTCATATGCATTCAAGAAAGTTAGAACTGCTGTTAAAAGTATGTCTCAACAGCCTGTTTTATGTGAAATTAGACTGGCAGGCAAAGAGACATCTAGTAAAGCTTGTTTCCTTTTTTTTTCTTTGGTAGGGAAATATAATGAAATATGTAGATGTTATGGACTGCCAGATAGCAAACACCTTTCTAGACAGCCAAGGGCCAACATTTTCAAGAGAATAATCTGAAGCATCTACACTGAGACACATTACAGATGCTTAATATTAGGTATGTGCTATGCTTTTTCTAAAAACTGGGCCCTCCTACTGGTTGTTCAGACAAAAATCACAGAACAATTTTGGAAATGTTGGCCTAGATGTGAAATTAGTAACAATTACTATCAATAATCATCAATTAACTGGTATTCATGTCAATGTTCCCAAATGCCCTTCCTCTCTAACCATCTGCTTACTCTTAAGTTAGAGGTCCAGGTAATATGAAGTTCATTTAAAGCTGGCCCTCTTACCTTCTTGGAAAACAGACTATGATCTATCCTAAAATGCACATGGCAGGCTATATGTTATCCAATATGGACAGAGATGATGCAGCCATTGTATTCTGTATGACATCTTGTTTTGTTATTAAAGCTAGGGAGCCAGAAGTTAAATGCTTTTGATATATCATGTCTCTGAAGCCACTCATATTCCCTTTAATTGCTTATTTCATTCACAGAACAAAGACAATAATAATAATAACAATAATAATATTTTGCTAGCAGAAGCATACATATGTTTAACAAAAATAATACAGACAATTTAACATTCACTGATCCCAGAACTATAAAAGGAAAATAAGTATTAATTTGATTTCTGTTCTGATATGGTCATCTTGGATAACACATATGGTAATACACAGCTGATAACATAGTAAATTAATTCACTGCCAAGAGATCCCCTATAGATGTTGTTATCAGTACAGTCATAGATGAACTACTGCCTTTAATGGGAACGTAGTGCTTCCTCCAAAAATCAGCTATCACTAAAATATAACTGTAGTCTTGCAAGTGACTGGGAAGAGCCATTTGCATTTTCAGTTTAAAACTAAAGTACTGAAAATATATTTGGTATTTTGTGCAAAATACATTAAAAAGAGCATCCTTATACATGCCTCTGTGGCATTTTTTTTTCTTTTAGAAATCTGCAGATTAGCAGCTGCTAGACATTAAATCGTCACTAAAAACCTCTCTACAAAAATGTTGTACACTGGAACATTCAGTACCAAGCCCTGCCCTCTATACCATGCATAATTTTGAACAGAGACAAAATGACATAATCAGACATCTTGCACTATGCATATATGTTATGGCTTGATCATGCCTTACTAAAATAAACAGCAAACCTCTTACTGCCTTAAATTGGCATGGGAGGAGGTCCTAGGTAGGTAATTAGCATTTTTAGAATCATGAGGTTGCCATGACCCATTTTCTCCAACTACTTTTATATGCTACTACCATGTTCCAAGGCTCTGTTTTGAGGGCCACTATTCCTTTAGTTGTCCATCAAGTGACGGTGAACAATCTTTTCACCTTGAGGGTGAAGTGTACCATATCTCTAGAGTTCCCAGTCCCTGTTACCCTTTTAAGTCAGGCTACAGCAAAGCCTATTTAACCTATGGAACATCTGAGCAAAAAACAGGTCAATTCATATGCCAGTTTCAAAGTTTTATCATCAGGAAAGGTATCTAACCAAAATTACAGTTCTCTACTTGCGGCTGCAACATTTCACTGTATAAAAATGCCCTACATATATTGGAATACCACTGATGTAAGGAAGCCCTGCAGTTTTCCAGCCTTTTCGTTAGAAATAAAATGTATCTAGTCATCTATTTTCACTGGTGAACCCAGGATTCTAAGTGGGCAAATACAAACCCTAATTTGTGTTATACTTTGGTGTCTTCTATTTATCCTAAATAAATTCAAAACTATTATACTTGACAGTCCAAGGAAGTAATGAACTGGCAGACAGCTGAAAAGAGACAGAGAGTGCCAGAACAGGATATCTAGCATTGCCTCTCAGCAGGTGCAGCAATTTCAGCGTCCAGCTGCGTAAGCCAGCAACCACAAATGTGATGTGCATGTTTTCATGATAGAGACTGAACTAAAGCTGAAAGAAAAGTTTCAAAGCAGTTACCAGTTTTTGCTGGGTTTAAAATGGACACCCATACAAAAAGATACCATCAATAGTAGCTCAGAGGATCTCTCTGCATGTGACAAAATATAAATCACAACAAAATTACCATTACTACTGCTAGGATACTAATTAAAAACTATTCATAAAAACCACATCAAAGAAAACATTTTATTGAAAAGCTTTGCTAATACTTTGCAATACCGCTTTGAGCATTACCTTCTGTACTCATGTCTGGAGTTGGCATCCAGACATATGCGAGCCCTTCCTCCTTATACAGTTTCATGAGGATTTCTGGACTCATGGGTTCTGGATAGCGGTTGCAGCCCCATGAATTCTGGTTGATATCCCATTCAGTCTGGAAATTCATTACAGCTGTAACACCCAGTTCATGTTTTAGCTTGATAGTCACATGCTCCACCTGCCGAGGGCAACTTCCCAGCCAGATGTTTGGCAGAATTCTAGCACGGAGAAAACATTGGAGTGCAGGTCATTAAAGTCTTTCAGCAAAAACCACACCCTCATTCTCATACAAAACGCAATTTTCTGTCAAATTAAGTGGCTCAAGATCCAACTAGAATTATCATACGAAACAGATTGTTAACAAACTCGTATGTCATACACTAAAAAGCTTCTAATTTCTTTATGGCATAAGCAGTAATGATGTATTCTGAAAACCAGATTATAAACCAAACACCAGAGCCAGATTTGCTTGGCTTGTGTTGATGGCAGCCTAACAAAATCATACCATAATTAATAGCAAAGGTACCAGTCATCAGCTCCTACAGTGGAAGCTAACAAGTACATAAAACCCACCACAAAACCCAGAAGACTCACACAACCTTTGTGAGACTGAAAGGGAGACAACTGTGGAAAGCTATAGAAATAAACCACAAGCTATGGAACACTTGCTACTTTACAGATACTTTTGAAGTGAGCAAAACAAATCAGGCACCAGTTTAAACCAAATGAAACCTCTTGTGGTGTTCATAAAAGTCTGCATTTGAGACTCTGAACTCCAGACAATGAGGGATGAAGCATATTTGGCTTCCTTGGAAACTAGAAAAAGCAGAAATATTGCAAGAAAACACGAGAGGTTTGGAGAATTTGGACGAACATCCACATTTTGGAGGATTACCCAAATCAAACCTTCAAACCTTTTGGGGTTTGCCCGCAACTAATTATCATGAAAACTGCTAAATGCCTTGGCAGTCTTTGGCACATAAACAAACTGAAATAGCAAGTGCTTTATTCTGAGAAAGGGATTTCTAAATTTCACATCCAAGTAACATGATTTTATTCACATTTTCACCATGCCTGTGTAAGTGCAAACAATTAACTGTGCATATAACTAGTCTTGTACACACTGAACTATCAATTTTGCATCTGTAATCACAATAACCACATATGTAAAATATGCAAACTGTGGCATATATAAATTTGTGAATCAGAGATTAGGCCAGCATCATGCCAGTGACAGTGAGAGTAAACCCTTCAAATATGAAATAAGTCACAGATTTTCTGAATTTTAATAATTTGCATACAGGCTGTGGAGCCCTTGCTTCTTCTGATACGCACATTCATGCTCACATGAGTAGTACAACTAAATTTTCATATGGATAACCTCATCACATTCATTGTGGCTATCTCAGGGAGAAGTGCTCGCTAGCAGAGATAAAGATCTGCCAACCAGTACTTGATAGGTTCATAGATGCTAGGGTCAGAAGGGACCTCAACAGATCATCGAGTCTGACCCCCTGCCTAGGCAGGAAAGAGTGCTGGGGTCAGATGACCTCAGCTAGATGCCTATCCAGCCTTCTCTTAAAGACCCCCAAGGTAGGGGAGAGAACCATCTCCCTTGGAAGCCCAGTCCAAATTTTGGCCACCCTTACCGTAAAGAACTTTTTCCTGATGTCTAGCCTAAATCTATTCTCTGTCAGTTTGTGACCATTGTTCCTTGTTACCCCAAGAGGTGCCCTGGTGAACCGAGCATCTCCGATATCTTGCTGCACCCCCCTAATGAATTTGTAAGCGGCCACAAGATCACCTCTCAGCCTTCTCTTGAAGAGGCTGAAGAGGTCCAGGTCCCTCAGTCTCTCCTCATAGGGCTTGGCCTGTGAACCCTTAACCATATGAGTGGCCCTCCTCTGGACCCTTTCAAAGCTATCCACATCCTTCTTAAAGTATGGTGCCCAAAACTGGATGCAGTACTCCAACTGCAGTCTGACCAATGGCACATAGAGGGGAAGTATCACCTCCTTGGATCTATTTGTCATGCATCTGCTAATGCACAGTAAAGCGCAGTTAGTTTTGCTGATGATTTTGTCACGCTGACAACTCATGTTCATGTTGGAGTCCACTATGACTCCGAGATGCCTTTCTGCTTGTGCTGCTGACAGGGTCATTTCCTAGCCAGTATGTGTGCTGAATACTTTTATGCCCTAGGTGCAGCACTTTGCACTTGTCCTCGTTGTACTGCATCCTTTTGTGTTCTGCCTGCTTTTCCAACCCATCCAGGTCTGCCTGCAATTCTTCCCTACCCTCTGAAGTGTGCACTTCACCCCACAATTTAGTATCATCCGCAAACTTGGACAGAGTACACTTCACACCCACATCCAAGTCACTGATGAAGATATTGAAGAGTACAGGTCCAAAGACCAAACCCTGAGGGACCCCACTACTCACAACCTTCCAGGTCAATACCGACCCATCTACTACCACTCTCTGGGTGCAACCCCCCAAGCCAATTTGCCAACCACCGGACCATGTAAACATCGAAGTCACAGCCTCTTAATTTATTTATGAGACTGGGATGAGATACTGTATTGAAGGCCTTCCTAAAATCCAGGAAAACAACATCCACCTCTGCTCCTGTGTCTAAGTGTTTTGTGACGTGGACATAAAACAAACCCAGATTAGTCAGGCAAAAAAGCAACTACCAGGAGTGGGGTTTGAACCCACGCAGACATCCATCCATTGGATCTTAAGTCCAACGCCTTAACCACTCGGCCATCCTGGTATGAGTTTATGCCACACTCTAATGACTCAAATCCTTCTAACTACTCTTACAAGATTACTAGAACACAGAATTCAGTATCTCTGGGATTATACTCCTTGCATATTTATAAAGAAGCCAGCCTGAGTCAAAAAAGGCTGACTGAGGGCACCTTATGCAAAAAAGATAAGATTATAAAGACAGATAAAATAAAATACGTAATAGAACAAACTCCCCGAACTATGACACAATACATAACCCTGCTTGCTGAGGACTCACCTAAATAAAAAGGTCCTGCAACTCTTCTGGATGATGCCCAGGCTTGGGCTCTGATCAATCACACAGAGGAGGGAGCTCCAGAGCTGAGCAGCAACTACTGAGACTAACCTCCCAAGTTTTTGTCAAATGAATGTGGCATGCAGATAGTAGTTGGAGCAGGATGCTTTTGGCTGATGTTAGGGATTGCCATGGGACACAATGGAAAAAGGGGATCCCTTAGCTATGTAGGGCCAAGACCACTTAAGAGTCCTGGGTGGAGACCACTTGAATTAGCCAGATCATTCATTACCTGGAACAAGTTCTTCTAGACAGCAGCACTTTACAGATGCAATGGCAGTGGGGAAGAAAAGATATTTTTAAATGCATTCCTGTAGTGACAGAAACACATGAGGCTTCAGCTAAACGTACAACAGAGCTCAAGAATTAGCTGAATATGAAGATAAAGACCACAATTCCAAAATACGGTAATTGCAGCAGGGGGCTATCTCCCAGGTTTATAAATAACAGATGAACAGACCCACGTTGGGGCATATTTATTAGACAGCAACCAACCGTACCTTGAGGATTGTCAGCTCAAGTTATGATAGCAATTTCTATTCGTGTCACCACAGCTTGTTTGGCTAGACACAGTTCATTTGGTTCAGCCTTAATGAGACTGCTAAAGTGATCAGTATAACATGTCCTAGAATAGACAGTGATAGCTCTGCCTTCCCTCACTGGTGCAGGATGTTGATGGGTGTAACACAGGTCACCCAGTGCTCGCTAAACATAATCAAGCTTTAACACTGTAGCCCAAGGAAACTAACATTTATACCACAGAAAACTCATTTAATTTGTCACTAGTCTTAGTTCTACTGCCTGTTCTGCATACTCTATATTCTTCAGATGACTAAGCAGAGGAAAGAAGAAGAGAAATGGGAAGCTCAGATTTTAAGGCCCTTCCTTTCTAAACCTACAGATTAAATTTATTTAGTTTTATACAAAATATCAATACGAAACCAAACCAACAGCTGTGCCCACAGACTCCCAGAAAAAATCAAAATAAGGTACAGGTTTCCGTATTGTCAGTAGGTCAAGTCTGAGCCCAATTCTCAGGTATATTAAGAAATCTTGGTATTGTTCCCTACATGGATACCTGTCCTAAAGCTGGCAAAATCAGCCACAGTAGAACTCTTATTAATTTCAGGGGAATGCTCGAGTGACAAAGGCTCATTACAGGGACTGCTACACCCTACCATTTATACTATAAGGCAAATAGCCTAGAGAAGTGACATAGTCAGGGCTTCCTTACATCCTTGTGACCTGCCACAATCATAAGCCCTTAATGTCATTGGCAGCTGATATAAACTAAAAGTGGTAGCTCAGGCCCCCCGGTCCAGTAGGCCTAGAGCAGTTCCTGGATTGTCCCACAAGTGGAAGAGCAAAACAGTGGCTGAAAGACATCTTTATGAATCCCCTCTGTATTCTAAGTGGCATCGAGACCATGGACTGACATTACGCTTGGAGTGCAAAATATGTACTTGCTAAAAGTGAATATACAGCCGCTCAAGCAGGTCAGAGGGGAAGCAACATGGACAAATGCTACCTCTTGGCAGCGAGATGATTTCTTAGTGAGTCTCCCTTGGGCCTACAGTTTCCACCTGAGTCCAGTGAACTAAATGCACAGTGCCTCCTTTAAACACCTGCACTGGCTTTGCAATGCTACAGCCCACTGCAAACCAGATGATTGACAGCACCCCTAGTGGCCTCCATTTTCCCCCTTCTTGCCTTTCGTCTGACATAAACAATATAAGAAATATAAGTTATTTCTATGTGAGACTTTCTGTAGAGCTCTTTCTCCTCCAAGTATCTGGGCCAGAATTAGCTTATACAGCCCTGAACTCCACCCTTCTGGTTCTCTCCACCAGACACATGGGTTTATCACTGGCCTCATCAGCAGGCTTACTGCTTTGCAGTCTGCCTTCCCGCAGGCTGTGCTCTGCACTTTTTGTAGTCACTTAGCTCTGCTTCTTCTGTCTCTCCAGTAACAGGAGTTAGGGGGCCCTGTTACATAGAGGGCTTTGTGTCTTGTCCTCCCCACTCCGCTCAGCTCCAGGGTGTTTGTGACTGACACCAAAATCTACTGCCCCAGGGAGGCAGAGCCAAGGGCACACATCACCATGCCAGATTGCTACTTGCTGCTGTCTC